GTGATCACACTTGTGAATCACGGTGACACATAATGATTAGGCATATGATTTACTAATGCAGATGTAATAAGTTTATTCTAAAATTCAAGGAGAACAAACAAGAACAACATCTTCAGTTGTGTCTTGGCTGTCTTGGTTGTTCTCTGTGTAGTGTGCTGATTTTTGTTTTTTTGTTTTGACGTGTTGCTTGAGTGAGGAGTACTGTGACTTCTGAAGTACCTCTCACCATGCGACCTTGATGATGATAAGTTCAGAGCCAGCTGAGAGCTGGGTTGTCTGTTTTGTTTTAGGCGATAAGGCAGAAAAGTTAAAACTTAGTTTCTAGTCTTGGAAAAAAAAAAAGAAAAAAAAGAGAAGGGTTTTTTGTGTTTCTCAACAAAGAACAACTACAACTCCATTGTCTGTTTTTGGGAAAGGAGAATTTAAAATAACAACAACAATAATAATAATAATAATAAAACAAACAAAGAGTGATGTTTTGAAGACAGATAATACTGCAAAATACCATTTAGTGCATGATCTGCGAGCAATAATTGAAATCACTGAAATGATGCCACCAGTAGTAGCAAATCCCCACTCTATACTGAATCAAGTCACTCCAAAAGACCAAAGGTTCTCAGTGATAGACTTATCAAATGCTGAATTTATCCACTGCTGACATTTAACTCTCCAGCTTGCTGGACAATAGGTGAAACGTTTGTGAAAACAGAGAAGGAAAAAATAAAGACACAGAGAGACTCTGGTATGACCAAGCAGTAATCAGACAATAAATTTAGTTGGTAATACAATAAATTGTGAGATACTTTCTGTTTGATTGATGCAACACAAGTAATTTACTGTATGAAGGAAATTCTCTTATGTGATAATATTTTGAACGTGCATTTCTGTTGACCTGTCAGCTTAGCGCATTATAAGCTGATATGCAAACTAGTTAATTGATACTAGATTTAGAAAAATGAATGGATTATAAAATAAGTGAATAAGATGTAACAAGGGTTGAAATTAGTTTCTTATTTCTAGTGTGTGGAGGAAGGTTTTATCATGGCACACATCTGTTTACATGGAAGGAAACTCCTCATGTGATACGACATTTAGCAATTTGCAAATGTTCAGCACATCAGAAGGATGACTCTGAAATTACAAAGGGAAACAATTTTGCTGACAAAGCTGCAAAAGCAGCAGCTATAGCAACCACAGTCTTACTAACAACTCATGAAATTCACACTATTCCACTGTCTGTACTGCAGGACGATTAAAAAGCAGCATCACCAAAAGAACAAAAACAATGGCTAAAACACGGAGCAGTACTAGACACTGATGACATAATGAAGATAACAGGAAAACCCATTCTTCCCAAATCATTGCACAAAACAGCCGCTCTAATGAGCCATGGCTCATCAGGAGGGATAATCTGAGTAATGCCGACAACTTTACACTATAAATTTTGAAACTTCAGCAAAAGAATACGTGAGAACATGTATGACCTGCCAAAAACATAATACCCAAGTTAACTTAAGGCCAAAAAGAGGACATTTTCCTACACCACCTCACCCATTTCATACAATTCACATGGACTTCATTGAATTGAATGAGTGTCAGGGCTCAAAATACACTCTAGTAATCATAGATGTTTTCTCAAAATGGCCAGAATGTGTAGGCCTAGTCAAAATGTTGACAAACAGAGAAGTCGTTTTGAACAATAAACTGCCGCAAGACTCTTTTTCACCTATTTCTCACAGATTGAAGCCAGGTGATTGGATCCTCGTCCGAGTACTCCAAAGGAAAAACTGGAGCTCGCCACGGTGGGAGGGTCCATACCAAGTGCTTCTGACCACTCCAACTGCCTGCAAAATTGCAGAGAGACCCTCCTGGATACATCAGAGCCACTGCAAAAAGGTTGAGGTCCCAGGAAACCCCGGCACCCCCAAGACAGCACATTAGCCCACACTTGGTTGCTTCAGTGGTGAGGGGGGAGTGCTGATTTGGCCCCGTAGGGTAAGCTAGCACTTCAACCTCCAGCCTCTGATCAACTCTAGGGCAACCAAATGTGAGGTGTGACGGACCTGTGTGCAACCATGGGAAGGTGGACCCTCTTGGTTACCTTGACTATGACGCTCACCCTTACAGGACCCCAGCTGACGCCAACAACAGCTGAACCATGAGGCAGACAGAAAAGATAGACGCACGACAACTCCCACCTAAGAGACATGACGCAAGACCACATACACCCTTGGATGAACAATGCCTGGTACCGTTATATCTACGACAGGACCAAGGCGGAATCGGCAAATACAGACTGTTATGTCTGTTCTCATATGCCCAGTACATGAGAACAGGATGACCGCAGGATGACCGCAGTGAACACCACTTCAACAGCACGCCGGAAAAGAAGATCTACGTTCCCCAAACTTCAACCACATGACCCGATATAGGGAAGCAACGTACCCGAGGAATTCAAACCGTGGACTACCGGACAGAAAGTACTCCACACATTGTTCCCCTGGGTGGGAACCGAAAAAAAACATGCTGAGGATTGAAACTCTGGACTACCACTTTGGACTCTTCTTGAATGCTTCATGCAAGATCAACAATCAGCAGAATCAGGAAATCAATGCATTACGGATCGCAGTGATGCAACATCGAGTAGCTTTGGACATGATACTAGCAGAGAAAGGGGGACTTTGTGTCCTCTTCAACAACACCTGCTGCACTTACAAAACCAGAAAATGTACAACAAGATGTTACATACTGATATCTCACTTAAAGGTTATGCTGACAGGAGGGAATGTTAAGGGAAAATTGTACTTAGTAGTCAGTATGAGCTTTTAATGATATAAGTTTACATGTGATAGAATACTGCATGATGACCTTTTCCTTGCTTAGAACTGATTGTTCTTTATGAAACGTGTTCTGATATTTGTATCTGAATCTTACCACAGCGATAGTAAGACGTCAAACAAGCAGTTCTGACCTCGCACACACACACAATCACATACGCACATGCTCACGTCAAATGTATTGATTTTTCTTGTAAATAAATAAAGACAATTGCAAGAACAGAGCGCGCATTTCACAGGGCCCCCACTGTGATGTGGGTGCTCTGCGAAACGCCCTTGCAAGTTAAAACTGCAGCGTCTGTTTGTGTGTTTTCTCCTCTTAGACTCTCAGCTGAAGAAGTGTCATTTAGAATAAATCTCTCGACAATTCTAAATACCACCTTTTTAAACAGTAACTGTAACGGAATACAGTTACTCATATTTTGTATTTTAAATACGTAACGGCGGTACATGTATTCTGTTACTCCCTAACAGTAACTGTCACATCATCAGTGTGATCATTATTGTCAAATAATCTTAAATTTTATTTAATTTCAAGTCTCACTAATCCACTCACATCCCACAGATTTCATCAAAGATTGTTTGTTAGGTAGGAGATGGAGCCTCAACTCAAGAGCGGCTTTAGAGCTACAAAACCACTGCAGGTCAGGAACAAAGACTCTTAAACAACAGGAAACTCTTCCAGGAAACCAGATAAGCAGAACTCAATGTAGCTCTAACAGAAAATCAAACAACTTAGGTCAATTAAGTCACAAACCCAAAATACACACATAAACCTAAAGGACTCTTGAATGGGAGCACAGAACTAAAGGCATAAAGTACCATGACAGGAACTCACATCAGGAATAAGAAAATAAAGACCCATAAACACTAAGAAATAACTGAATAGTTATTTTTTAAAAACAAAAAAACAAAAAAGATCCAAGCTATAAAAACAGGAGTTTCCTGGACAATTAATGTATCAGATCTGAGGACGTCGATTATAGCTGCTGGAATGTTTTGTTTATATGATGTTTATCTTTGCGGATGCTTGGAGCTTTAACTAAGGTCTCTGGGCAAATTTAGGTGCTTTACTTTTTCCTGTTGTCGTGGTAACTGATACACTGCTGGGATGGTTTGGAAGAGTTGAGGCAAGTTTGTGATCTGGAGACACTTTGACCACATGTGATGTTTGTTGTTATATTATGAAAAATCACACAGTACTGTGCAAAAGACTTGAATCACCCAAACTTCTTTGTCTCTTTGGAATCAAATTTTAATTTCACAAAAAAATAATTAAATTCTCAATAAAAACCTTAATGTCAATCATTTAGTTGTAGCTGAACCATGAGCCATCAGGCAAATCTCCATTAGCAAGTTATCGTGGATCACCCCGTGCTTGGGGCTGCACAGCATCAACATGTTAGCGCAGTTAGCTCGTTAGCGTGGTTAGTGCAGTTAGCTACATAAAACGTTGTCACTGTGCAGGTGACCGGTGGTAACTCACTAACAGAGATTTGCTGCGTTAATGCTGTTATGGCATTAACGTCATTTTAAAGAGATTAACGCTGACAGCACTAATTCATACATGTTTGTAACACAGTTTTACTTTGTGTTCATGAACATCCTGAAGACTGTAGTTCAGAGTCACTGGCAGGCAGCAGAGGAAAGTTCATTTCTGTGTGTCTTCAGATCATTTGACCCACAGTTCTGCTGTGAGGTTTAAAGATGATGATCAGCATGTTCTTCACTTTTGGTGTCAACACAGAGTTTGGATCAGCAGCAGGAGACTCAGAGTTCAGCTCTTGACCCCTCTGAGATATTTCATATCCTCCCTGGTGAATTTGATGTGTTGGTCCACAAAGTTCATGTGATCAGTGGTACATCCTGAGATTTGACTTTCACCCAGGTGTCATCCACATAACTGAACTAATAACTTGGTGATGGTCCAGGGTTGGATAACAAAGCTCTTTTTTCCATGTTGGGGAAACCTGCAGTCAGCTGAGACTGAAGAAGTCACTTGGATGAGACCAGATGAACAGAACCTTTTATCGTTTTTGACTCTGCTTCTGTTGTTTTTTGGGGTTTTCTTTTGATGTTTTTTTAGATGAGAAAAAAACCACTAACAGCAGCAACAAGAAGAACAGGTAAAGCTTGCAGTGCAATAGATTCATCCTTCTCCCCTTCACCCTTCCTGCCATTTTCTGTTTTAACTTCAGGTTTCTTCCTTTCATCATTCTTCCCTTCTTCCTTTTTCACTTCTTCCTTCTTCCCTTCTTTGTTATTCCCTTCTTCCTTCTTTCCCTCATCCTTCTTCCCTTCTTCCTTTTTCACTTCTTCATCCTTCCCTCCATCCTGTTTGTCTCCTCCTGGCTGACCTGCAGGTGAGAAACAGGTGTGAGGTGTCAGCTGTCAGGTAGGTGATGAGTGGAGAACAGAACAGAATCCATTTCCTCTTCAAACTGCTGTCAGACATTATCTACTGCACTCTGATCACATCACTCAGACCAGCTGCTTTCTACAAAGTCTCATCAACAACATGTTTAGAAACAAACATCAACAACCAGGAAGCAGCTTCACCTCTGATCACACACACACTCAACTCTACTCACGCACCTGGAGAATCAACATGAAGGTGGATGATGATTATGAGCTCCTGAGAGCGTGTTTCTTTCATGAACACACGACACTCGTATGTTCCAGTGTCATTAATCGTCACATCCTTCAGAATCAAAGACACGTCTCCATCCTTCATCTGTCTGTCCTGCAGATCCACCCGGTTCTTAAAAGATGGATGCTGACCTTGTGGAACAAATTGCCCCTCCTGGTACAAGTAGACATAGCCTGATGTCAAGTGACCTTTGCTCCAATGTACAAATTTGGTGTTGTTGTTTGGCGCTCGACATGTCAGAGTGACGTCCTGTCCAGACTCAGCTGTGATGTTTTTCTGGTCTGAAAGAGGAAACAACACAGAGCAGAGAGGTTAAAGGTCAAAGTACAATTATGATCAGAATGATTTTCTTTAAATATTTTGTTTATTTCCTTTGACATTTGAGTTTTTAGTCATGTTGGATTTAATGAACCTCAGTACATCCAGCAGGTCACCAGTGACCCAAGAAAATACAAGATGTTAGCTTCCACAGAACAACAACATGTGCTGATAATAAGTGAACATAATGTGTGAGAGAAAGCAGCCTCTCATTATAAGACACTGGGAGTCTCTTGGGGGCAGATCTACACATATGCATGTGTTACTTGTGGTTAAAATGATTCAAATTCAAATTCAGTAAGTATACATGTTTCATATAAATATAATCTATAACTTAATTTATTTCTGTAGCCCACATCATTAAACATTTCAGTCACATAAAACATGAATTTTGATTTGATGTTGTCTTGAATCGCTGTGTGGCAGGCAGGAGTTGGACCCAAAATGCAGGCGCTCAGACTCAAGGGATTAACTCAAAAAACTCAGCTTTATTTGCTGACAGGGAAAAAGCATACAAAACTAAAGTACACTGGGGAAATATAAACTACACTTTGCAGAAAGGCACGCGAGGAAACACACAGCATGAGGGACGACGCGACACTGACTGAGAGAAACACAGGGTTTAAATTAGACTTGTAGTCAAGACCGTCTAATCCGAGACCAAGACAAGACCAAGACCAAGTTGAGACAAGACCGAGACCAAGACCGAGTCTTTAAACTGCAGCCAGATCACCTGCTCTGTTCCATCTCTGTTCCTCTCTCTCTCTGTTCCTCTCGCTCCCTCTTTGTGCTGACAATCACACCAACATCATCAAATATACAGTTGAAACCAGATATTTA